ACAGTATCAACAGCTCACTAAAAAAATTGACATATAATACATGAAAATTATTTTAAAACTTGATTCCAGGTGACATTAAACGATTAAATTCCATAAAGTTTTAAGTTCCACGTAAAATCTTTTCTGCTGCATAACTGTTTCTTTACAATTAGACTATACCGAGCATCCAAAAGGAAAGTAACATTAATTTTAACAAAGACATTTGATGTGTTATATGTTTTTGATTTATAATTGTTAAGAACAAGCATTGTACTTCAGCTTCTGGGTCAATGACCCCCATGTCGATCAGGTTTTCGTCCAGTTTCCCTGATCCTCGAGCAAATGCTGAGATGGCCCCTTGTTTTGCTTCTGGAGATAAATGTAACTTCATATTAACTTCTCTCCATAGTACGTCACGCACTCTGCTTTTGACGTAAATGAACTTAAAAAAACGAGTGATTGCTATTTTGCTTGAGAATTCTGTTAGATGCTGTAGATATTTTGTGATCGATGAACTCTATTTCTATCTCGTTGCTTTACTTGTTAGTCATTAGATCGATGTAAAGTGTATACGAAATTACTGAAGTTAGTTTTGGAATAATGATGACTTACAGAAAGGGAGGCAAATGTGTGAAGGGGGGTGAAAAAATGAAATGTTACTAAGCTGAAGTGTATGCACCAGCTATAGAAACGATGAATTTTGGATAGAAAGAAGCCAAATATTATTTTAATGAGAAGTTTGAAAAGTCTGCTAATGACCGGAAATCACAATGGAACACGATGAATGACAATTCTGAAACATGGAAGCAATGAAGATATCGATGAAAGGAGGAAATGGTGACAGAACATTGAGAAATAGCTATTGCGTCGAATTGACGTTATTTAAGTATTTCCTTGAGTGTCGTAACGAGAGTAGTTAGGACACTCCTCAAAAAGTTTTATGCGGACACCTGACAAATGTTGCCAACACGTGTAGTATTACCTAAATTTTTGAATTAGAAATATCGTTTAACAATTTATCAGTCTGATTACATCATAAGAAATTGATATAACAAACAGATTATACAAATTAAGGAACAGGTTTACATAAAGTAATGAAACTTTGAAGAAATGAAAATAGCGACCTGCTCGAAGCAGTATAGTAATTAATTTGAATTATTTGAACTATTTGAAGTTAACCCTTTGAAGATGGAATTATTTATTTTATATTCGTATAGTGGCTTAGATTGTTATTTTGGGGTATTTTCTGTCTTTATTCAAAAGTAATGGCTTGGTACATTAATGTACCGCTAGGCTCTTACACTGCCTTGTGAAACACTGAAAATGGAGTAAGCGTCGTAGGATCTTTTGTTCCCTACTTCATCCACCTGGACTCTTCCATCATCCCACCGTCGCCTCCGGCGACTCGAGTCCTCTGTATAACCATGTGGCTTCCTCTAGGGTTGCCAAATCGACTTCCAAAAAATAGCGAAGAATGAGAATGAAATAAAATAATGAAATAATTTACTTATGTAAGTTGTATTAAAGTTTAACAGTGAATTCACGAATTCGTGGAATTTGCAAAATTCTGAAATAAGCTAGGTTTGTTATACTGAGAAGGATTAAACTAAGGGTTATTACTGAAGATGAACCTAACATTTGAGATTGAATTAGATTACAGCAAAATAGTATTTATATAATTAACTTTTGTTTATGATCGAAATTTGTTGTTTGGGAAATCGCGCTTTGTATATTGAAGCTAGTAATAATTTATTTTGAAATAAGTTATAAGAATGTTAGAAAACATATGTATGGAACTAAAATGAAAGTATATTGTTAAAATAGGTGAATGCGAGTTAACTAGCGATGCTAAAACAGCACGTACTTCCTCGTTATTAATAAAGGCTATGTAATACTATTTATACAATTTGTCTCTAATATTTTGTCATACTTATTTGAAATGGTAGTAATTTTGGTGCGAAATATAAGCAGAACGCTAATGATACTGATAGTGTTGCAAAGAAATGGATGTAAAAATATGTAATTGTACGTAATTATTAAACACGGATATTGTAATATTCTCTAAATATAAAGAAGAGTACATTTTTATTTCCGCGAACGAAAAGCAGTGATGATAGTGCTATCTGTGTGGCATTACAAGGAGTGACAACCTACAATGATCGCTTGTTTTTCACATTGAACACAATTAAAGGATATCACCAATATTTACAATTCAATAATTAGAACTGGTTACTTCCCCGTTATTTGGAAAAATTCAAA